AAAGCCATTAATCGTGATAAACAATTAACACAAAAGCGAATATTATTTAGTATAATTTTTCTATGTCTTGTTCAAATAATTGTGTATGTTACTAGTTTAATAATAATGGAATTATTTCGTTAAGCAATTGTTTCATTGTGTAGTATGGTGATATTAAAATTGATATTCTTTATTATAGAAAGTGTTCCATCTTCAAATTTGATTATTTCAGAAGATGGGACACTTTTTTTGAAAGTGAAGAACATCAACTGTAATATTTTCATATATTCACCGTGAAGCATCTGCTAAACGAATATCTATAATGAACAAGAATATAGTATTCAAATTTCTCTTTACTTTTAGTCCAGACAGTTTTTTGCATTTAAATGAAAAAACATGGAATGCAAGTAAGAAACAAAGACGTATGATTTAAGAACTTTCCAACATTTTTATTTATTTTAGAAAGATTAATTGTTGTCACTTGTGTACTTTATACTATTCGTGTATTCATACATTATATACATATATCATTAGCTAGATACGTATTTTTAACAAAAAATGAATTAAAACAACTTGGTCTATTGGCACCAGGTAATAAAAGAAGTTTTTCTTTTGTAAAATTTAAATTAAAATGATTATTTTTGTTTTCTGTAGAAACCGGCTTTGTTATATGTGATGCTCCTCAAGTAGCTGAAGCTGCTTTTAATCGTCATAAATATCTTAATAGATTTTTATGTTGGATTTCACCACAATTATTATATACATCAATTCTTGGTCAACAAAAAACAACTAATCCAACTCTTCCATTACGTGTACTGACGGCTACTCTCGCTGATCGTATAGCATCTTTAGTAAATATCCGTTCAGTAACTTCACCAAATAAATTTGATCAACAGGTTACGATAAATAAAATAATTGAATTAAAAAATAAAAATAAGTATTCTTGATTCTTTTAGAGAGACTTAGTTGATCATACCAATTCAACTATTGCTACTCCTGATCCATTAGCAACATTAAGAAATAGTGTCTATTGGCAATCATCTCCGGGTAAGCAAACAAACTATTAGCAGCGAAAATGAACGCTTCGAAAATGTTTGCATGTGACATTTTATCAAGATCTTAGTAATTAGCATGTTCTGCGCTAGTGATTCTTTGTCGCTGTCTCTGTAAAAGTTTTAGAAAAGATTCATCTTACTAAAAATCAACATTTGCTTTTTAACAGACATTTTTAATGAGAAGACAATATCTGAGTTACTTTGTAGTGCTTGCAATCATATATATAAACAACATGTGTGAGAGAAGGGTTCACATTTTTATCCCTATACTGTTTTTTTTAATAGAATCACCTTCAACAAATTTAAGTGATTGTTCACGTTATCTAAATGAATTTGAACGTGAAGCATTAGATTTATCAAATGCAAGTCATAGTCGAAGTTTAAATGAATGTAAGTTAATTATAATCGAATAATTAATAAGCTAAAATTTCAATTTTACTAAAGCTTTTTGTCGAAGTCCTATTATTTCAACCAATGCTATGAATGATACTGTAGCCGAACTTCGATCTCGTCCATATCAAATGGCACATGTTCGTTCAGCAACAAATCAAAATGGATCAACAGTAGTTGATGATGATGCACGTAAATCTGATTATAAAAGAATTGTTAGTAGCGGCACTGGATCTGGTAGTGGTCAAACAGGTGGCACACAAAATACAGTTGTAAGTATAAAACGATTTTTTATGAAACGAAAAACTCTTTCGAGAATTCATGGGAAGAAGATATGAGTTTCAGAGTATGTGCAACAGTTTATGAATCTTTAAACATATTTTCATTTTTCTTAAATAAGAAATATTAAGATTTCTGAAAATCTTCTTTGTTTTTTATCTAGAAATGGCGTAAAGTACGTATTGATGGACCACAATTATTTGTTTTACGTGAAAATATGCGCAAAGTAAATCTTAATCAAATATTCAATTTCTAAAAATTAAACTATTATTTCTTTAGTGGCTAACAAAAACAATTCTTATTCCATTAACACGTGACATTGAAAATGTCAATCAATCATTAATTGCTCTTGGTCATACAGATATTGTTATCGGAAGTAAGTTACAAAGCTTTTTTTTTGTCTTTTGTTTGAAATATTGAGGCGTTAAATTTAATTTCATGTAATTTTAATGTACCTGACACAAGATCGATTGTTTAACCCTTTACCCCCCATAGCGGTTCCAGAAGAGCCACCGATGAAATAACTTTATGAATAGAGTATTAGCCTGTCAAATATGCCAATGGTGTGGCCTAATCCACAGAATGTCCTGTTCCTGGAGTAGGGCGGTTTGACTGATGTAAAAATCATGTGGTGGAAAATGGGAATTGAGCAATATCATAAGAGTTGATTCTTTTTCTTTGANCAAAATTAAAATAAGCTTTACTTTGCACATTGTAGTTCTTTTCACGCTGCATCTCCTGGTATATTTTGTTTTTCTAAAACAACTTATTAAGTGATGCAAAAATGAAATGGAAAAAGGGCGTCTTTTTGTCCGAGGGAGATTCGTTATATTATACCAATTGATGTATCGTTCATATTACTATAAGAGAATCTGCTATAAATCAATCGCTTCCGAACTTCCTTGTCGAGATTTAAACTATTCCTAATAGAACCACCCGTAAGCTATTTGCTTATCCATTAGCACTATATTCATGTTTAATATTGATTTTGTTTTTGTTTTATCTCTTCAATAAAAAGTACGGATGTAAATAATGCTCTAAAGATTTCTTTTTTTAACCTAGTTTTTACAATTGACCAATTACAGATATTCTTTTCTCTCACGTTTTTCTTTTTGAACTCTATTTGTCCAATTGAGAATGCTAAACACATTTTCTTATCTTACTGTTCACAGTCGAAATAAAGAAAAAAGGAAGGAAGAATCGCATCCGTTTTGTTTTTATCTTTTTTTTAATCTTGACACAAAATAAAAGAAAAGACAAGAAATATGTTAGTATGCAAAAATCCTTTTTGTTCTTTGTCTATAATTTTCTTATGTTCAGATTAAACAGACACAAGCATCCTTATATATATACTTTAAATCAAAAGATAAAAAGAACTAAAAATGGTACGTATTGTTAGAGAATAAACTGAAATGTGATTGTTCTATAAAAAGAAAAATCAAAATTTATAATTTTATTAGATACTATCGCAGATATTTAAAATCATTCTTATCGAATGATGATGTTCGAGATATTGTTGATTAATTCTATTGAATTTTTCTAAATCTAGGATCTTGACACTGTTCGAACTCATTATGGTGGTCTGATTGTTTTTATCACATTTTTAAGTCGAATTATATTTGTTGGATTCTGTTGGAGTTATGGTACAGTAATTGTTCAATTTAAAAAAGAAAATCCAATGATATCAGATACAGAATTAAGTATGTATTTATCGTAAAGTTTTATTTAATAGAAAAGAAAAAAAAAAGAAACAATTCCATTTAGGTTGGATTGGTAGTATTGGTCAAAGTTTTGGTGGTCTTCTTGCTCCATTAATACTTTTCTTAGCTCGTCAATATGGATATCAAATACCATTTATTCTTTCACTTATCACATGTGTTATTTCATTATTAATTTCATCAACTGTTCGTAATGTTCATTGGTTATTAATAACCTATTCATTTCCATATGGTTTTGCTAATTCAATTATTTTCATTCTTGGTACATTAATTTGTGGTCTTTATTATCCTGTTAGTCAATATTCCAAACATATTATTGTTATGTGTATTATTTCAACAGGATTTCCACTAGGTTATCATATTATGAGTGCTTTAGTATTCTCATCAATTGAACATTATGGATGGCAATCAATGAAACGACGTATTGCATTATTAGAATTATTTGCTAGTTGTATACTTGGTCCAATTTTTACTACGAAATATTTAGCAAGTACAGCATCAGAATATTATCATACAACAATAGCAGCTACACAAAATACTAATAATCGAAAAATTTATTTTTCATTAACAATTATTGTTTGGATGTTAGGAATATTTACAACAGTATCTGCAGTTAACAATTTTCTTCTTCATTTAGTAGGTTTTTGAAAGAAAATATTTTTTTTTATTTCTGTTTAGTGAAACATAACCTAAAAGGTGTGTTGAAATCTAGGGATAAAAATTTCGATCCTTACAAAATGTGACAGATCGTATATCAATAACATTTCGTTATGATGTAGCATATAAAGCAAAAGTTATGAGATAAATGTTTGTCTCTATTTCTCTTTTGAATCGTGTATAACTTATTTTTATCATACGTTCATAAATGAAATGTCACAACAGAAAAAAAAATAATAAAAAGCTTCTGGAAACGTAAGATCTTTATCAACTAATAGGAAATTTTCTTCTCTTTCGAGCTGTATATAATTTTATTTTGTTATAAAAGAGAAACATTCACGCGGCGAATTTGTAATTTTATATTGATTCATCACATAAAGATGAAAAAAATTAATAAATTTACCCCACAGGCTATGCTTTCAAGATGTTCGGATATAACTTCGACACATATGGCGTGATAGACTATATTTTTTATTCACATTGCTGTTTTTAATAATTGCATTAATAGGTTTCTTATATGTAAACTTATTATTATAGCATAGTTATTTGGAATATGTTCATATTGCTCCAGCTCGTGCTGATCTTTGGTTTCGTTTACATGGTCTATTCGATGCATTATTTCGTCTTTTAATTCCATTTTTTATTCGTTTATATCCAATAAATATTATTTATCTTTTTCCAATATGTGCTTTTACTGGTTTTATTTGCTTAATATTAACATTTGGTCTACTCTATACAAGTGTACATGCATTAGCTATTCTACCAATTGTTTGTAAGTTCATATAAGGAAGATTTCATTTGTTCTTTGATGATTTTTTTTAATGTATTTCCTCTAAATAGTATTTAGTTTTACATCAGCTGTTACTACATCACTTCAATATACGATTTCGAGTCAACTCTTCCCAAATGATCAAACGGAACAAGGCTATATCTATCATGTAATTGTTACAAGTCTTGGTTTAATCATTGGTCCAGTGGTTGGAGGTACGAGTATATGTATATTTCTTGGGAGTTGACTTTTAAATGTAGAAATATAAAATTGTTATGCATGAATCGAAACTAAATATTTTTCAACTAGTGAAAAGATTTCTATGCAGATTTAAGTAGGGTTTGTGAACATGGATATTTCTCTGACCCGTACCGAATGTCCGTGTCAGAATTAATGAAGAATGAGTGTAAGCTCAATAACTTGACCATCTAGAGACCTTCAGTTTTCAGTAATTGAGAGGAGAAACTTCAGACAGCTTTTTTGTGTGATACTATATAAGACAAAAGTATTTTAAAGCTCACTTTTTTTGAAAAACACTCAAACAAGCATGAAAATGGAATTCCATTTCGATCTAATTTTGATTTTTCACATGTACTTCAAATCTATAGTTCAGGGCAGGATTCTGATGATTATCTTCTCACATTTGAATGTTGAGCAACAAAGTTGCCCTTGATATTCAGTACAATTCTATAGAATTCGGTTGATTTTTATCAAAATTTCTTTGAAACAAAACACCGTTTTCATGCATGTTCTTGAATTTTTTTTGTAAAAATGATGGGTTTTATTATGATATTGTGTTTTATAATATTACAAAGAAAGACATCCGAAAGTTCTCTTCTTCCGATTGTTGAAAATCACTGATCTCTATTAAGATCACACCTATCCTTCTTCAATTCTCGGGCAAATATTAATCATGGACTGAAACTAAAGACTTGCTGACAAAGATAGAATTTATTCTCTTGCAAGATCCTCCGAAATTCTGAACGGGTCAGCTTGATGCCTACAACTGCAAAGATCAACCACATTGAAAAAAGTCTAAATCTCGATCACAACTTTCATCTTTGTAATTTTTGGTCGAGACTTAGCCTTTTATTCGGCTTGATCAATCCGTTCGATTGTACACATCAAGCTGAACTGTCTACAATAAAAGTCTTGAGTGTCCTTACTAGAGAAAAAAAATCTCGTTTCTTTTTAGCAACTCCTCAGTTTAGTTAAATTCATTCAGAAAACTTTTCATCAGTAGAAAAATATGTCGAAAACTGAACTCCGACATATCTATTGATTTGATATACATGATCGACAAATGTTTTAGTTTTTTTAGGTCAACTTCTGGATATAACAGGAAGTTATAAATCGATCATTCTAACATCAATGGTTTTTCTTTTCATTAGTTTTATTTTATTTAGTGTCACAATTTTTTTATCGAATAAGCAGAAAAATAATGAATCAGAACAAAATCAAATTTCAAATCTATAATACATTATTATATATTGCTTATATATCGTTATCTTATTACTTAAGATTAGACATTGATGCATTTGGTAACTGTTTAACACCTGTATCTACACTAAAATTGACTTGAATGGGTGCTGTAGTAGTATTAGCCGTTGGACAAGGACATGATTCAACTTTTTTCGATGACAATTTTTCACCGCATAGACAATTACAATCTAATCCATATCGTGGTTTTGATATATCTTTAACAAGTTGTTTAAATTGAGATTGATCAATATTACATGTCACCGAAGGAATATAACGTTGACGTATACCACAACATGTACAATCACAATCGAGAAAATGAAGTTTAAATTGTTCATCTTTTTGTTCGCATGACATATTTATGTTAGATAATTAAAAATATAAAAAGATGCAAAATAAGATAAAATATATGTATATATTTGTATATATGCGCGCTAGAAAATAAATATAATATCTTTTTTTTTTTGTGTCATATAAATGATAATAAATTCATTCGTTGAACAAGTTTGCTATTGATCTTAAATTATAAGAAACTTTGTTCATGCTAAATTGATCGTAAAAGTACAGCTGCTAAAAACATGTTTTCTTTTTTGTTTTTGAGTGAACGACTAGCATTGGCTCCTATTTCGATGAACTTAATTATTCTATTAAAGTTTTTCTATTGTATTTTCTTTGATTCTGTTTCTGATTTTCTTTTGCCTAGATATTACTCAAAAAAACACAATGTACGAAATATTTCTTTTCTCTTGTCTTTTCGTTTTTCTTAAGTGTAGCTATATTATTCATTATAGAACATTCTTCATTCCATTACTATGAACTTGCATATTCATTGTTCTATAGTGATGATGAAATATAGTTCAAATCACTAGGAGTTGTATGCATTCAATAACCATTCTTTTCAATAATTATCTTATTCATTAGCCAACAATTGATTTGAGTGTATACATTTTAAATTGATTATCATAGATTAGCTTAAAAAATATGGCCAATAATAATATTGTTTAAAATTTTATTTCGTTCACAAATAGCAAGAAGAATAACACCAATATCAATTCATCGATACCGATATCGTTTATCTTTTAAGATATTTGTTACAAAAAAAAAACAAAATACAAAGGTTGCACATGGAAATGCTTGATTTTTTGAAAAATTTCCAAATTTTTAATTTGTAACTACCTGTTATTGAAAAAAAAGAAGAGAGCCGAAATACGCACTATAAAGTATAATAAACATTATCATGATGTGGTTGCTGATGTTGTTGATGGTAGGTGTAATGTTGTTGTTGCTGGTGATGAAATTGTTGTTGCTGTTGTTGTTGTTGCTGCTGCTGTTGCTGACGAAATTGTTGTTGTTGCTGATGAAGTTGTTGCTGCTGTTGTTGATGAAGTTGCTGCTGTTGTTGAAGATGCTGTTGTTGTTGTTGATGAACTTCTGCTACTAATTGTCTAATTTGTTCTTCGTTCATAACATATTGTTGTCCATTCATTGTAACCAAATAGAGTTGTTTTTGATCATCCTGAGTAGAACCATTGATTGAGGTTTCATTCGATGGTAAATTGAATCCAGTAGCAGCAAGATTTTTTGTATCTTCACTATCAAGTACTTCGATCAAAATTCCTTGAGCATACATGGTTTGATAATATTGATGGATAAATTGAGGATGTGGATGTGGACGTGGATGAAAGAATTGCTGTTGAGTCATATGCGGATGCATTTGATGATGAGCATATGCAAAACCATTAGGATATGCTTGCTGTTGATGATAATAAGCGGCAGCTGCTGCAGCAGCAGCACCAGTAGGCATTGTGAATATGGGTTGACGAGTGTGAGAATTGTTATACATGAATGATTGAGAATAATTTTGAAAATTTTCATCTAGGTTGTCTGATTCTTGGTTGCGAATTAATGGTGGATCATCAGGCTCTTCAACAATTGGTTTTGCTGATGCTGAGGAACTTGTGGCACTATTGTGATCATCTGTATCTGAGCCAACTTCAACAATTCGAGGATTCTGACGAAATGAGTCATTTCTCATCGAATTCTGATTCGTGCGAACTGAATTGAATTTATTTGGATCTATTTTATATTATTTATGATAAGTAAAGAAAATAATTTGCAATGTTCATTATGAAAAGTAAAAGAACTTACTAATAATTCGTTGTAGAGCATAGTAAAGTATTTCTCCTCCATCTGGCGAACGTCTAAGAAAATCATGTTTCGTCAACAGTACTAATGCTTGGCCTAAATCAAATGTAGTTATTCAATTATAATGAGTACATGATAGTAATATCATAATTGAGTACTTTACCATTCATTTGGAATTTTGCAGTTGTTGCCTTTTTTAGTTCGAATTTTTTACATTGTTCTTCAACCCAATGTTGTACATCAGTTGATGACCACTGCGTCACATCTTTATCATTAGGATTAAAAGACGATTCTTGTCCGTTATCAGTAGATGACGAATTTATTGTAGACTCTTGATTATTACTGTTCATCACCGTAGTGGCAGAAGAAGCAGTGGTTGTTGTAGTTGTTGTCGTTGTTTCTGTACTGTCAACTCCCTTATAGGGTGCGACATTAACTCGATGACGATTTTGCGACAAATATTGATAATAGCCTGTAATAGGTACTGATTGTAATCGATGACTAATCATCATATTATAAGAACGAAGAAAAAAGTAAACAGCCAATATGTGAGATATGGTAAATGCATATGCAAAAGATAGAGAAAAAGTAATAATAAGAATGACGAAACTATGTACAAGAGCGATGTGAATAAGTGAGCAAGCACAAGCATGTATTCATTTTTCTCTCACGGTCTTTACTACACTTACTTAAATGATTGATCGAACGAAAAAAAAACCTAGTGAAACGAGACGACCAATCTTTATACCATTTGTTTTGCTTTCGTAACAAAAATGATATACTAAGGTGTCTTCATTGAACAAAAATATAGATCAATTTATAGTGAGATTTGTAAATTAAAATTAAACAAACTATATAATATTGTTGATCTATGATATTTGTTGTCATTCTTCTATTTTTTTTTTTCTGTTTGAATTCATCAAATAAACCAAGAGAATCACTCAACCATAACTGTGATGTATGAGTGAACATTCAAATCATTCGTTATTTCACTCAATTATATGCATATCGTCTACCAATGTACATATGGATGACAAAATTTTATCGTAGCTTTTATTTTTTAATGTAAACTATTTCTAGGAATCTTATTAGAAATCAAATTATGTTTGATTGTATTTTTATTAATATGAAAGAAAAAGAAAAAAATTCAATCAATTCTATTTTACTTTTAATTAAATAATAGTTTATTATTCATAGCTAATCTTTATTTAAACGAGCTATGGTACAAACAGACAAGATAGGACATTTATGATCTTTTGAACAATATGAAGGTAAGGCGAATATGCTTGGATCAATACCACCTTTTTTAAAACTATTTACATCAAATACCATTTTATCATTTGGTTGTTGATCAATTATATAAGGTACTTGAGTAGCATCAACTTGCCAATAATAATTATTTTGAAGACCTTTCTTATCCCAAACTTGATATTTAACTGAACCTGTTGTATTATATCCAGTAAATGTTGCATCCGATAGCCAATCAGGTTTTAACATACCACAACCACTTTCTGATGCACAACACATACAACATGAATTCAATGTTGGAAAAACAAGATATCGAAGACCATCAACAACAAGATGAGTACATGGAACATCTTGGAAGAATTTTACTGAACTGCAATAACGATCATATTTACCTGTTGAACGATCAATACGACTATTAAATGAAAAATAAATATAGAGATAATAATAAAAATATAATTAAATTAACTAACACAGCTTTCTGATCAAAATCATAATAATAGATTCCTTGGATATTTGAACTTGTTCCAACTACTGGTAGAGTACTTGTTTCATTAAATATTTCTTGAAATGCAACTGGCCAAACCGGTGGTGTTGGATCAGCTATTTATTAATACAAATAAATAAATAAGAATATTTGAAGAATAACAATAAACAAACATATATATATATAATTACCAGCAGTGAATAGACTGTAATCACTACTCAAAACTGTAATGATCAGTATAAAAACCAATTGATGACAATACATTTTGAAATATCTATTAATCTTGTAAAAAACTGATTTGTATTTGTGATTGAATATGTTTTATAGTGAAACTAAATATAAAAAGAGAATGATTGGGAAAAGAATCCAGCTGCTAGCATTTTTAAACATCATATGCTTATATTCTCAGATGATCAGAGTAAAATGCATGAAAATGATAGCAAAGGAAAAAAAAAGACTTTGTCATGATGATCATATCTTACATGCAGTAAATTTTTGTTAAATAAATTCTGAAATAAAGATATATCAAGAGAAAATACGATCTGATTACTACAATAGCGGAGAGTGAACATAAACTATTTATCCATTTCTGAAAAGAAGTCGCTTGGGCAGAGTTCTTATAACTTTTGAAGGGAAAGTCATAGAGAGCTGCAGTTTTCACCGTTGGATAGAGAACATCAGGGCACATAAGTCTATGTAAAAACCGATGGGTCAATCCATAAAAATACTCGTTATCTGCGTCATCAAATTTGGATGAAAATTACATAAAATATG